CCTGCTCTGCACAGTTTTCCTAAACATGCACATCTGAGATTTCATGACAGTCCTGATGGGCACCTGTTCCGGCCTGCCAGTCACCACACCTGCGCTGTGGACGTACAGAAGCAGAGGGAACCCGAGGGGAGCTTGGGAACACCCACAGGGCAGGATCTCATTAAGAACCTGTGCTATCCTTGTGGCTGAGGCCCGCTGTGGCTTCCAAACCTCCCAGCGAGTGAGATTTGGACCCAGACAAGGAAGGTCCAGCATTCAACCAGATCTAGGACCTGGAGCCAGATGGCAAGAGGGGAAAAGTGCGGACCCTTTGGCCAGCCTGTAGCCTCATGTCCCTGTCCTCCTATACAGCTCCAGTTCCTCTTCTGGAAGGTCTCGAGTCCCAGAATACCCCGGAGCAAATGAGGCCACACCCAGAACCTGCTGGCCCCGTGTCTGGCACACATGAGCACCCAGGGGATGTTGGCAGCTGTAGTCATTGTCATGGGGATGTCTACAAAGACCCATGAGGCCATCAGTTCCTTAGGACAGCCACTGCCCCCAAACCCTATAAAGACCTCTCTTCTTATGTCATCTATCCAGAAGAGGCCTGGGGTGGGGGGAATGTGAGTTGGGGAGGCAGATGGAGTCCATGCCTTTTTCCTCCACTTCAAGGGGGTATTGGATTCTCACGTTCTAGCCTGGAAGGTGACTTGGGAGAACGCCAAAGGGCAGGATTCCCTTGGGAATGATTGGTTCTGCTTCATTTAAGGAGGAGAGTCCATGACCACAAGCTCTTCAGAACCAGCCTTCACCGGCTCTCCCTAGGGAGCCTTGCCTCCTTGTACCGTGGTGACAGGGAGCCCCGAGACATCCAGAGGGGCCTAGAATGAGCTTGCTTAGTGTCGGCTTCGGGGCTCCGGTGTCTCCGGCAGAAGTGAATCCCCATGGCCTCCTTCAATCCCCAGAACCCACATTGTGGGGAGAGAATCAATTCCTACAAGTCATTCTCTCACATCCACATCCACATGGTCTCGCTCACACATGCTCACTAAAGAAACAAAAAATAAATAACTGAAAGAAGCCAGGGACTTTGCCTAAGCCAGCTCCTTGTCCACAGCCTCGTCTTCCCTACTGATGGCCCACTGTCATTGAGTCAGGAGGTGACCAGCTTAGTGGGGACCTTTGGTAGGCTAAGAGGAGCAGGAATGGGTGCGAGGCCTGTCTGTCAGCTTTGTCCTCGGTCTCTTGGCCTAAGGCTATAGCAGGCACCTGTCACCTCCCCCTCTAATAACTGGGCTAATGGCCCAGTAAAGGACATCTGGGACTGACCTGGAACTACCTAGGGTCCTCACTTGCTGGACCCGGACCTTTGCCTTGGGGCCTGGGCTTCTGGAAGGAGGGGAAAGACTGCTTTGCCACTGGCTAGACCAGACTGAGTCCCAGCTGGGTCCCCTGACAGCCTCTTTTTTTTTTTGTACCCACAGGAGCTACGGGGAGCTGACTTACTGCACCAAGCATGTGGCAGACAAGATTGGCTGTTTCTGGCCCAATCCAGAAGTGGACAAATTCTTCATCGCCGTCCACCATCACTACTTCAGCAAATGCCCCATCTCGGGCAGAGCACTGCGGGACCCTCCCAACAGCATCCTCTGCCCTTTCATCATGCTCCCCATCACCGTCACGCTGCTCATGACTGCACTGGTGGTCTGGAGGAGCAAACGCACAGAGGGCATTGTATAGGTACCCCAGGCAGTGGGGAGTTGGGGTATCATGGGCCTGGCCTAGCAACAGCATCAGGGGCTGATAACAAGGCAGGCCCCACATTGCATCCTGCTCTAACCTAGTTAGCACAGGACTTCCAAGTGGCTCTGCATTAAGCTGAACATGGCTCTAGCTGAAGGCCTCTAGCAAGGGAACCGGGGCATGCTTCTACTTACCTCTGAAAGAATTCTAAGTGCCAGATCTCCGGTATACTCCTCACTGTTGTGGACCTTCTGACCTCCAAGCAAGACTGCATAGATGTGTTTGTGGATGCATAGTTTGTGATTAAAAGAGTATTCTTAAACTTGGGACGTGTTCTAAATTCTGGGTAGAAATAACCTATACATGCCGGCCGGGCGGTGGTGGTGCACACACCTTTAATCCCAACACTCAGGAGGCAGAGGCAGGCAGATCTTTGTGAGTTTGAGGCCAGCCTGGTCTACAGAGCAAGCTCCAGGACAGGCACCAAAACTACACAGAGAAGCCCTGTCTGGAAAAAAGAAAAAGAAATAACCTCTACAAGGAGGCAAAGAGTGGAAGAAAATCAAGCCACCTCTGCAGGTCTGTATTTTATCTTGGGGCCTCTGACCAGATGATACTCAGTCCAAGGTCCCCTGTGTATGCTCAGGGGTTCCCAAGTGATCAAGTGGTTCTGATGCCTTTGGTATCTATTTCACAGTCCCTGATTTCTTTCTTTCTTTCTTTCTTTCTTTCTTTCTTTCTTTCTTTCTTTCTTTCTTTCTTTCTTTCTTTCTTTCTTTCTTTCTTTTTCCAGGACAGGGTTTCTCTGTGTAGCCCTAGCTGTCCTGGAACTCAATCTGTAGACCAGGCTGGCCTCAAACTCATAGCGATCCGCCTGCCTCTGCCTCCCGAGTGCTGCGATTAAAGGTGTGTGCCCTGCCACCACCTGGCACAGTCCTTGTTTTTAGTCCTTGGAGGAAATAATCATCCATTTGAGACTATCAAGAACACCTACCACAAGCCAGAACCAAGGGCCCTTGATCATAGTACCTTCCCTAAGAAAACCCCAATACACAGGATAAGTGAAGGCCAAGAGGTGCCGGGATGGGATTTCCTCTTCTGCTCAAGCACTGGCCTCCCTGGGAGGCCACGGGCAGCAGTGACAGTATTAAAAAATAAGATTGAAGGCATGCCTGGAATCGAAGCACTTTTGGGGGCTGAGGTTGGAGAATTATTGTGAGTTTGGGGCCAGCCTGGGCTACTGAGCGGGAAGGGAAAGAAGGAAGAGAGGGAGGGACGAAGGAGATTAGATTCATTTGTAACCTGAACTGGAAACCAGAGTGCCTTCCAGAACTTGACAAGGAAATCTACAAGAAGGGGGGGGAGGGGATGACGGGGACAGGCGGGGGACGATAACGACAAGACTCTCGTAAGTCACAGAATCCAAAAGCAGTGAGAGAACTGGGGAGCTCAGCTTGAGAAACCGAGCTGACCCAGTCAGTGTTTTGTTCCCGGAGCTGCTTATATTAATGAGCTCGCAGGGTTTCCGGTAAACTAAGAAGGCTGGAGATTGAGGTCATCTTCAAAGCTGTGCTCGCCTAAGCAGGAGGCAGGCAGGGAAGCCCTGAGCCAAGACGCCTTGCCTATCAGCCTTCTAGGGAAGCCTGGTCCACTGGGAGTGGATCTTGATCCATTCGTCAAAAAAGAGCGTTAGTGGTGTCCTCCTGAAGACAAGTCAGAAGTGTGGACCAGAAGTCTTGAGTACTTGTTCTCAGTGACTTCTCTTCTAGGAATCCATCCCAAGTACGTAATTAGACATGTGCAAAATGGCCCATGGGGCCCAGGAGCGGAAGAGAGGAGACACCCTCAGTGGCCTGACCGAGGACCGCTCCATCAAATTAACTCCAGATGACACAAGGCAACTAACTCAGTTTCCTTAAATGACATACTTGGGGAGAGGGGGAGGTGGTGTTTCACAGGACATGGAGTTCATTGAAAAGAGCAGATTTTAAAACAGGAAATCAAGGTGACCTCTATGTTGGGTTTGTTTACACATACAGTCCTGTTGGGTTTGTTTACACATACAGTCCCTGTCCCCAGGCCACATTACGCTGGGAGAAAGTCATGTAATAGGCCTCCCCGAAGACAGAGCACCACACTCAGGTCCGCATCTGGCTGCTACCATCCCAGCGGCTGGACGTCATTTCCTGGTGAAGGGTGATATGGTCCAACCCAAACTGGCTGTTCTAGCTGTGTGTGTCCTTGAGCAACTATCTCATCTCTGGTACCCATGGGGGAGATGACTTGGAGTATGTGAACCATCTGCCTTTTCCCAGTGATGGTGTTTGATCTCCTGAGAGACCAAGTAGCCAGTCAGAGGAGCCCCGTCCTTAGGGCCAGGCAGGAAGAGTGATGTCCGAGGCAAGACTGGCAGCTGAGAACAGGGAGGCTGTGAAACAGATTTTTTAAAAGATTTCAAAAATTGTATTTATATACAATTCAGAACCCCTTCAGGACCCCTGGAGGTTACAGATGGTTGTGAGCTGCCCTGTGGGTGCTGGAAATGGAACCTGGGTTCTCTGCCAGAGCAGTAAGAGTTGGACTGAGCCACCTCTCCAGGCCTGGGATACTTTTCTCTGCAGTTCACCTCTGTGGTGAGCACAGAAGATCTACAGCACAGCACAGAAGAGCAAATTCCTCATGGGACTAAGCCAAGACAGGCTATGGGGTTGCTGACTTTACTCTGTCCATCCACAAATGGTAGAGATAGAAAGTCCCTGAGAGGGGCTGGAGAGATGGCCAGAGGTTAAGAGCACTGGCTGCTCTTCCAGAGGTCCTGAGTTCAATTCCCAGCAACCACATGGTGGCTCACAACCGTCTGTAATGAGATCTGGTGCCCACTTCTGGCCTGCAGGCATACATGGAGACAGAACACTGTATACATAATAAATAAATAAACCTTTAAAAAGAAAGTCCCTGAGAGAGGCAGCTTGGGAAATAAATGGTCTCTCTTCTTGAACCCACCCCAGCCACACTTCCTGCCTATCCACACACCATGCAGGACTTTCTCCAACACTTGCCAAGAGGCTGGGAAAACTTGTTTTCCGGTCCCCCTGGGGTTGGAGCAGGAGATAGGCAGGGGTGCCGGAGGGCAAGGGCAGGTGGTAACTGCTGTTCACGCTCAGTACGTGCTGCCGTGATGGTGTCTGCACCCATGCTCAGTACAGACTGTCAGGATAGCGTCTGCACCCCGCACAGGCTCAACCCACCCAAGGCACAGAGAGACGCAGTCAGACTTTTATTCCAGCATCTTCTTTTAAGGAGTTCCACATTTACAAAGGGGGACAAGAGATGGCTCAGTTGGTCAAGTGCCGTGCAAGCATGGGGACCTCAGTTCAATCCCCAGAACCCATAATGAAAAACAAAAACAAACAGGCCCAGTGGTGCCCGCTGGTAATCCCGGTGCTGAGAAGGCAGAGACAGGTGACTCTTGGGGCCACTGGCCAGCGAGCCAACCCAAACCAATGAGACTTTCATGTGCATATCTGCGTGCCCCAACCCCATACACAAATGCAAAACTGCCATGTACAAGGGACTGCCTGGATAGCAAACTGCCTGGGTCAAATCAGATGCCAGCTCCACTACTGTCGAGGCAAGCCAATCAAATCAGATGCCAGCTCTGCCAGCGGGGAGGCAAGCCAATGGCTCCCTGCCCCTCTGTTTCCTACCTACCAAGGAATGATTGAGGGCCTTAGACAGTTGAGTATTTGCAAACAGAGCCCTTGACATGCCCCAGGATATCACAAGTGGTCTTTTCACTTTGGCCATGGGGACTCGCCTTTGTACAGGGTTCTGTGCCCTGACTACTGCATGTATGTGACTGCCCCCCTGGGTGTACCTTTCTATCTCTCAACATGCCATTGTCTGTCACCTAGAGGCTGGAAGGTGAGTGGATGAGGACACTCACTGACGGTAACAACAGGAACTACTAAGACCGTGGAGGACTTTCCTCCTTCCCTTCTGCATCAGGCAGACTGCAACAGTCCCTGGTGGCTGCACTGCAGACCCCACAGGCCTCTGCTTGTGGAGCAGCAGTTCTTTAGGCTAGAAACCTGACATCCAGGTGTCATCAGGCTTAGCCCCTCCTGGGGGCTTGCATCCGCAAGTCACTGGGATGGGGCCCATCCAACGACCTCACCTGCCCATAACTACCTCTTTAGAGACCCTCCCTCAAAACAGGGATCCGAGGTCCTGCAGCTTAGGACCTTGGCATATGAATTTGGGTGTATGTTGGAGGGGACAACTTGCCCATGACAAAACCCCATCTCCCCAACTGCCAGATGGCTCACTGCAGCCAGTTACGTTATGGGTCCAAATCTGTTCTGAGCCTGTGTTGTAAATCTCCATGAAAACCAGTGGAAAACAACTCCGGCCAGAAGTGCTCCAGAGACCTCGAAAGAGGGAACAGAAACCTGCTTCTCATCAAAGCCCATCAGCACGCATTCTTGTCAGGAAACTCGAGGCTCAATTAGGAAGGCGGGTGGTGGGGAGGGTCTCAGGGGAGACTCCCTGGAAAATTCCAGAGCCCATGTTCCTGGCTTTCATTTTGTCTCATTTTCAGAGAAATAAGCAGGGCTTCTCTCCTGATGCCATGTTTCCGACCAGATAATGTTTCTTGTTCCTGAGCAGTTACTGTTTCTCCCCACCACCTAGATAAGAAATAACAAGATGAGGGCAGAGGGAAGAAAAAAGAGAAAATTTGTCAGGTGGTGGCGGTGCATGTAGTTTTAATCCCAGCACTAAGAAGGCAGAGGCAGGTGGATCTCTGTGAGTTCCAGGCCAGCCAGAGCTACACAGAGAAACCCCATCTCGAAAAACAAGAAAAGAGAAAGACAAGAAATTTTTTTGTTTTTCCTTGACTTAACTGGGTCAGCTGTTGGGAAATCGGGGTTGGGGGAGGGGAGAGGTGGAGAATGTTCAGGAATGTGGAGGAGGTAAGAAAAGTGCCCGTGGGTCAGGCAGGAAGAAAACCCTGGTGTGGAGTCTTCCGGAAGCATCGCCACTTACCTCTGCTCCCTGTCCTCCTCACTCAGAGGATGTTTGAGGCACAGACCCGCTGCGGCATGTGCTTGGGTGTCTCCCAGCATGATGGCCGAGGCCTGGGGCCCTCTTTGCTCATGAACCTGTGCTGCCCTCTTCTGTTAGAACTGGGGAAAAAGAAACAAAACAAAACAAACAAAAAACCCCAGATATTGGGCTTGGCAGGGGATGGAGATGGGGAGTCATAGTTGCCTTTCCTTCCTTCCTTCCTTCCTTCCTTCCTTCCTTCCTTCCTTCCTTCCTTCCTTCCTTCCTTCCTTTCTTTCTTTCTTTCTTTCTTTCTTTTTGTCTCTGCACACCCTCTGCCCCAAACAAGGTTTCTCTGTGTAGCCCTGGCTGTCCTGGAACTCACTCTGTAGATCAGGCTGGTCTCAAACTCAGAGATCCACCTGCCTCTGCCTCCCCAGTGCTGGGATTAAAAACTTACACCATCACTGCCTGGCTAGCTGAGTGTTTTCGACCCAGGTACCAAAAGACCAAGTGGGACGTCCTCTGCAGGATGACAAGTCCTTTCATGTCCAAGCTTTCCAGTCCAGGCTCTCCTGCAGACTTCACACACACGTTTGGAAGCCTCACTTACACTTATGATGCGTGATGCTTTCTGCCTCTGTTTCCTGAGCCCCAGGAAGACTGAATGGCTGGACCCCTGATCAGAATGAGCTGTTTGGTGTGTCCCAAGCCCGTCATCATGCTAACCCTAAGATGCTCTGCTGTCACTGTCCCCAAGCCCCCACCTTACCCCAGACTGCCCACTGAATCAAAATGAGGACGTGACTGCTCCTAGGCATGGTGGAGGAGAAGGGGTTTATTGTAAATATGAGGGAGAGTTCAGCCAGAGGCATCTGGAGGCGTCCGGACTGAACCCAGCTATGAGAGGGGGTTGGGAGGACACAGACACGACACACAGGAGAGGAAGAGAAGAGGAGAGAGGGCAAGGAGACGGAGAGAGGAACCAAGGACCGGGAGGCTGAGAGGGAACAAATAACCAAGAGAGCATGTGACCAAAATATCTGGGTTCTGTAGGAAAGAGAAGCTGGGTGAAGGGAAGGGAAGCTCAGTGAAGAGGTTTAGGGTGTGGGGCGGGGATGAGAAGCACTGAGGGGAGCCAGGACTCTGTAGCGGTGCTGCCATGACCGAGAAAGCCTGGCAGCCAACACCTGCTTTGAGAAGTGAGTGGGCTCCTCAGTTAGCCATTCATCCTGAGTTTCTTTGGGACCCTCACACCCACGGAACCAAGCTGCCCATCCACTTCCTTTCTTCCCAACTGCCCAATCGATCATTCCTTTACAAAGCGAGTCCTTCAGTTGTTCCGAGCAGATCAGGGGCTCCTGGTGACGGGTGGAAGGACTTTCCTCGTAGCTTTACAAAGAGAGCCTAGCGCTCTTGCCCTTGCGCAAGACCGGGAGTGACTGGGCATGATTTGGAGCCTCAGAGATGGGCGAGTTCAGCTGACTCAGCGGTTGCCTGGCTCTGGAGCGCCGTTCCCACGGCCATGTGTGGTGGGTGGGCACCTCACTGCAGAGGCTGTTCAAGGACCGCGGCGCTCAGCCTGGCTGCTGGGTGACAGGGCCCTAGAAGGAAAACTCGGAGCACAGGGAAGCCAGAGAGACTCTGCCTTGGCTGGCCACTAGAACACTGGAGGCAGAGGAGCCGCCAGGACCGCTAAGGAGGTGGGCTCACTTCCGCGGGGCACTGCTTCCTCCTTTGTTTACTCTCTTCCTTCCTTTTATCTGTTTTGTTTGTTTTAAATTTCTTGCTTTCTATTTCCACAAGTACAACAGAGAACAATCAAAGACTTTCTAATGCTTGAAATGGTGTTGGGTAGGTGCTCAGAAAGTGTGTATTTAATTTGCTGCTGCTGATTAATATGTCAGCAGCCACAGCTTGGCTCTTCGTCCCTCCATGGCTAAACGTTTAACTGGGGTGACAGCCAGATGTCATGCACAGTTCTACTTAAAACACCTTCTTGGGCTGGGAAGATGGGTTGGTAGGTGAAGCACTCTCTATGCCAGCTCAAGGGCACTGTTAAACCTGAGATTCCAGAGAAAGTTGAAGCAAGCTTTAATTAAATACTGGCCAGGATGATGGACTCTGCCTAGGTCCACTCCTGGGTTCCCAGAAAATGGTGATGGGTCACATTTTGCAGAGGCTTGAAAGGGCCAAACCCACAAGGCCACCGTATTTCCAATCAGGTCCAATCAGGGGCAAGAATATATCCTAAATGTGTATCTTGCCTGCATACTTCCCTCCTACATCCAATCAGGAGCAAGCATACATCCTGACATATTTCCTCCCACTTACATGTGATCAGACACATCCGGTGCAGCCGAGTCAAACTTGTTCAGGGGGATGAAAGCATGTGGCTTGTCATCCTCCATAAACAACAGCCTCCAGCATTTCAGGAAGTATCCGTCCTTGAGCAAGTGGGGCTGACAGCTTACCTTTGGCCCTGACACGTGATCTCCTGAACCAACATAAATCTGGATGCAGTGGTGCCCATCTGTAATCCCAACAGAGACAGGAAGAGCGTGAGCATTGACACAGGCCAGGCAATATCATGACAGGCCCCTAATAACTCAGTTAAGAACTAGGCCTGGACCAAACCCCTTCCCACCAACAGGTAATAACCAAACAAGGACAGAGCCTGGAGTTTGCCCAGACTTGCCCTAGAATGGAAAAGCTATAGCCTTAAACCCACCTCTGCTACCCCTAACCAATTAGGAATGTACTAACATAATTGCCATTCCCTTAAGCCAATTGTAGGTAAAATGACCCAATGATCTAACTGCCCTAGGAACTCCCCTTAGCTGTGCTTAAAAGGAGCCCATACATCTCTCTCAAGGTCGTCGCCATTTTGTACAGGTGAGTGACCCCCACATATATGTGGTATAATAAACGCTCTTACTGATTGCATCGTGACTGGTGGTCTTTTTTTGGAACTTCTCGTGGACCCTAACAAAAAACTTGCCTCAAGCAAGGTAGGAGATTGTTCTCTGATTTCCACATGTAAGCTGTGGCACATATTCTCAAACACACACACACACACACACATACTTTAAAAAACAAAAACTTGTTTTACTGTGGAAGTATTCTGCAAATTGAGCAAGTCACAGATAAACTGTGGGGACGGGGGGGGGGGGGGGGGGGGGGGGGGGGGGGGGGCCGCGGGGGACAGGACACAGCTTGACCACACTGCTGCTGTGACAGGCTTAGAGGCTGAGACACAGCTTCTGGCAGGCAACACCTGGACCCAGGAAAAGCCATAAGCTGACCCCACCCAGTGGGGCCTGCATCTAAGAGGAAATACCTGACATTCCAAACATTCCCTATACCTAGACAAATGTCAACCAATCAGGGTCCTGAACTCTGGGAATCCCCTCACCCCAACCTCTGCTATGATAAAATCCCCACTTTGTCTGGGCTCTAGGCTCTCTGCTCTCACCGGTCCAAGCTCTGAGGGTCTAAGCTCTGAGCTTGAAAATAAAGGCTCTTTGCTTTTACATGTAGGATTTGGTCTCTGTGGTGGTCTTTTGGGGTTATTGATCCCCGCAATCTGGGCATAACAAAACAAGCAAACAACAAAACAAAACACAGAGTCTTAATTCCTAGCACTAAGATAACTTTTAGTATTCATTTTGCTACATACTGTCCAAACTTTAATTTGTTCTTAGGTACATGGATAATAGATACTTAAAAAAGAAAAATTGGCTCATTCTACTTCATAAATAAAGGTTTCAATTTAAAAATATATTATTAAAAAATATATCAATTTTTTTTAATGACCACAGAGTTTCTAGACGTCTCAAAGGCAAGGGCTCTATCCTTTTTGTTTATATTGTTTATAAATAATGCTTCCTTATTTCCGCCCTTAACACAAATGTTTAGACTGGTGGGTCAAGGGGATCCTTGTGCTTTGAGTAAACACTGCCAGGTTCATTCCAAATGCTTGTGTCATCCAGTCACCAAGGCCAACTAGATCTCCTACCAAGGGGTTTGCCTAAAAGGGGCATGATTTATTTTCGTTAGTAAATGGCAAAGTCAGTTGGGTGAGAGAAGATGTTCTCAACATGCATGTCTGACTATAGAATGAGCAACCTGTCGCCTCTGGATACTGACCATAGGAAGTCTCAGTGAATTACCATGCAGATCCTTATCCCCAACAAATTCCTCCTCTCTCTACAAGAGCCCTCCACTCACAGGCTGACCGTGTTCACGTTTTATGCACAAAATTCGGCTTTCTTTAGCATTTTTTTTAACATCAAAACTGAATTTGTAGTTCTTTTAAAAAGTTGTGTATTCCTCGGGATTTTGTGAGCTATTCTGTTCATGTTTATTGTGAAGTAGATTAGAAACTTTCATCTTATTCTGTGCCCTAAGTGGTTTGTGGAGCATGAGAAACACAGAGAAGGACATGGAAATGCTTGATAGAATCAGAGAGATACCTCACCTCTCAGCTGTAAGTGGTGCACACAGACAAATGTTGAAGAGGATGAGGCAAGAGGATCACCCGGGTAGGGGGCCAGCCTGGGCTAGACTGTAAGCTAGGTGTGGTGGTACCTGCCTTTCATCCTCAGCTTCATAGCAAGGGCAAGGCCAACTTCCACTACAAGAGATCCTGTTCTGAAAACAAACGACAACAAAAATATCAACAACAAAAACCAAGAAACCCCACAAGGTGGTCAGGAGATGTAGATGAAAGCAAGAATGGAATGCCATTTTGTGTCTGTCATATGGTCAGTTGTAGTCGGAGGGTTTCTCTGGTCCTGCCAGGCCCCCACAGTCCCATGGCCTGCTTATAAAATAATCACTCAGAAGCTTATATTAAATATAATTGCTCAGCCTTATTACTGACTAGCTCTTACGCTTAAATTAACACATAATTCTTATATGTGTTTAATCATGTGGCTTGGTACCTTTTCTCAGGTCTTCCTTGTCATCTTGCTTCCTCTGTGTCTGGCTGGCGACTCCTGACTCTGCCCTTCCTCTTCCCAGAATTCCCCTCATCTGTTTGCCTGCTTATACTTCCTGCCTGGCTACTGGACAATAATAATTTTATTTATCAACCAATCAGAGCAATGCATATTCACAGAATACAGAACAACATCCCACAGCACTTCTCCTTTTCTGTCTAATCAAAAAGGAAGGTTTTAACTTTAACATAGTAATTATATATAATAGACCAGTTATCAAGCAATAATTACAGTTACAATACCTAGCCTATTTGTATTTGGCAAAATTAAAGAAAATATTATATCTATCCTATATTTGTGAGTCTAAAGTTTCATATCTAATTTATCTTTTATCATAACCAAGGAAAATTATAATTATAACTATCTAGTCTTCACCTACATCAAAGACCTCAGAAGGATATATTACCTAAATAAACAGGAAGAGCATTGTAAGCAACTTCCAAAAATCTAGAATGACAGAGACAGCTGCCTGCCTGGACAGTCATCCAAAGTTCCTCTGTAATGTTAGGGCATCCATCTTCAGCCAATAGGCCTAGAGTTTTTTAATCATTTCTCCCCATGTCCTGTAGAATATTTGGCAGTCTCCTCTGTGAAGCAGGAACCTGAAGAACCATCTCATCTTGCAAAGTTCAGTGGTCATTTTTCCATGGGTCCTGCATATCCAGTCAATACAACATTTTGTCAAGCAGTCCAGGCTTCCCCAAATGGCTAACTTTTGCCAAGAAGAAAATAAACTCCATATGGAGTATCTTCAATGCCCATCATCTTCCCTGAAGTAATTGGTGCTGCCAGAAGCAGATGCATCTCATTGTCCAGAAAAGTCTAAGTTTTTAAAACATTTTAAATGCCATATTCTGTAGGTCTTAGAAGTGTTTGAAGATTACCTACCTAAATGAAATATATCTATGTATACCTAGAAAACTCCATTAATATGACTATAAGTGTGATTATCATGGATGACTATTAATCTGTATTTCTTAATTATACATTACAATTTCAATGAGCTGCACAAACATAATACCTTAAACAAGAGTAGAAATATACATACAGTATAACAAAATTAACTTTAAATGTGTATCAATAAACTAAAATCCATAGCAATGTAAAACATTTTTAAACAAGTTGTTGCTCTTTAAAAAAGTAGGTTCAATAATCTACCCTTTCATCCTATCATATCTATATTGGCAGTTTTTAAAGTGATAAAAAAAAACGTGATGACAATTGTACAATTGTAATCAAGCTGTCGAGTGCAGCCTTTGGCAAGATCAAAA